CACCCACACCCACACCCACACCCACACCCACACCCACAACCCCATATAATGGTTGCTAAATGATAAATAATCTTTCTATATAAAACTCGATTGAAAGACCATATAGTATATGATGAAATCAATTGAAGAAATTAACGATAAGAGCACCCGGGCGAGCAAAGGACGGGTAAAAAGACTAGTCTCATATCTAGTCCTGACGGGACGTCCTGTATAGTCTTTTTCTCAAATCGGACTATACCATGACTAGTCTGGAAAAAGTTGTCGTCCATAATACCCATCCGAACTATGTTACTGATGGGCGTCATTGGCTCTGACATGTCTAGTCTGTTTCACTAAAAAGACCCGTCTATGACTAGTAAGAATCACTAATAGGTGGACTAGTCCTGTAGGAGGACTTTTTGAGAAAAAGATTAGTGAGGACGGGTAACAGCGACACCACATAGAACAAGTTGTAGTCTTGTGTAGTGGACGAGTTCGGACTAGTCTAAATGAAAATGTGTAAAGATGAAAGTTAGATTCGAACATGCATACAATGTGTTACTTACCCATCGTTTAGACCATTGAGTCATATGATCAGCAGATCAACTCTACACACACATGATCGTTCTAAGATGCTATTTAATATAATTTTACTCCATGTTTTTGATGTTCGTATTTAAATAAAAAATTATCGTTTACAAAATAGCTCATTAATTAAACAACACTAGATAAAACAAAGTCAAAAAAATTTATATTTTTTGGATAAATATTTTTTATTACTATTAAGTAGGAATAATTAGTTATGTTAAAAAAATTAATTTTAAATGCAAAAATAAAAAACAATTTATATTGAAAAGAAACTGGATTTTTCATATCATGATTTAGTTTACCTGAAAATTTAAATCATCGTGTCTTCAACTAAGTATTAAATTAATTTTGTTTCAATTAAATCTACTTTTAAATTTAAAAATTTATTAGAACTGATATTTAAAGCAGCAATTATGGTACAAAAAGATTTCAATTATTTTTTAGCTCTTTTTTTAAATTTGGTACATCTAATAATTTAAAAAAATATAAGTTAGCACTCCTTGTTGCTTGATAACTATTGTTCTTTATAGTTACTTCCACTTTTTAATGTTTTGATATCCTCTTATATATTTTCAATATATGAAAATACAAAATATAATAAGATATATCAAGACAGATAGGAATGCACAAAGTATACTATCTATCTTTGATTTCACTATTGGCTATGACAGACTTTCTGATTGTCGTTCTAGAAAGAGAAAAAAACTAATAATACTAGTGACAATCGACATAATTTTAATACAAAATAAGAATGCATGTTATTAATCTCTATAATCATAATACAATAGATCATGCTTGGTTATCAATTTACGAAAATCTGAGTACACTATAGGCAATAAAACGGTTGCTATTCTGTTATCTAGTCCAGATTCTAAATGAATATGATTATCCATCGATCATTTTTAACAAATGATATAGATGTTGAAAATTTTTTCTATTTACATAGTACTTCTTTTCTTTCCATTATTCATCAGTTTAAACGAGTTTATAGGATAATTTAGTCTAAAGAAAATGACTTGATTAGAGTCTTTCAGACTAGTCTGGACCAGGATGAATGACACTCTTTAGAAAAGGACTAGTCGTGGCGAGTGAAGACGACGCGTCGGTATAGTTCTAACTACTATCGAAGATGTTCCAGACTAGTTAAAGTCGTGTGACATCGACTGGTTTCTGATTGTTTACGGGATGGAAAGGAATCAATTTTGTATTTTAGAATGTAAATGGGCGTCAGTTCATTCCAGTGCCCTAGTCTCCCGTCAGGATGATCGTCAGGTTTCGAATTCTGTCGGGTTGGATGTTCGAATTCACCGTTTATCTTCTTTTTTAAACTTCGGACTAGTTTGGACGAGTTCAACGGACAAAACGGACCAGGCATGACGGGGTTGAAAGACATTCTAGACTAGTCCAGACGTGTTCGAAGGACATTTCTCCTAAAGGTGACTAGTCATGTCGGATGTGCAAGACGTTTCAGACTAGACCTGACGGGTATTGCGGACATTTCGGACTAGTCATGTCGGCCGTCATGCATAATTTTTTGCTTACTTGGGATCGACAGAAAATATATAGCCGAGAAAAAGCCGAACGAAAAAAAGTTTCTGGAGATAATGACGTAATGATTGAGTCTCGACCAATTCTGACATCTAAATCAAATCAAATAAATAAGTAAAAATATCAATACTACTAATTTCATGAACTACGAATCTTTCTATATTTACTCAAAATCACATAGCCACTTTCCATCTAATCGATCGCGCTGACACTTGTGATTCAAGATGAATAAAAGCATTGCATGCATCTCTGAAGGGTTTTCATATTTTTCTATTCGGTAGCCTTGCACAACAGACTAGACTCGGGAAGAACAAGAGTGAAATGTGATTGATTTCATCTTCAAAGACATATATCAATGTAATGATAATGTAATAGAACTATCTCTTACATATAGTGTCATCTAGCGATATAGTTTGATATAGAAACAATGCTCATGAGATGGTTGGTGCATTGATCATTTTTTTGTTCTTTAACTGTTCTTTGGTCATCTTCTTTATGAAAATTTCGATTCACATATCTTCCGATATTATTTTAACATTTGGGACACTCAAATCGATATCAGAATCGATGTGCAAAAAACAAAACTAGCAGGAAGTGCTCCATTTAAAAATGATGAAAGTAGGCCGTTTTTTATGCGATTACTTTTCTTTTCGACGACTGTGTAAAGCTCAAATTATAAGAGCATGTGAGCCGTACTTTACAGTCATCTGTCCCCTCGCTTCAAATTATCCTTATTATAGCTTCTTGGAGTGTAACGCCCTTTTCCTTAACATGTATTAAACCCTTTCAAATGTTTCAACTTCCACTTCAACCCATCAACCTCGCTAATCACCAAGTAGGTGTAATTCCATATTGCATGTTTTCTCTGCATGAAAATACTAATATACTTTTTTTACTACTCTATTAAAGTTATCTTTCTCTTTTATTTTTGTTTAGAATATTGCTGCACAAAACAACAGCAGCAGCAACAACAACAATATTCCACCAGCTCCACCATTTCAAGGTTTTCTTATATTGTTACAACAACAACAACAGATACAACAACAGCAAAGACAGATACAACAACAGCAAGGACAGATCTGGCCTCGTAGTTCCTATATTTCCTATATATAGGAAATAGCTCTATACTGTTCTATACTTGAATTATAGATTGTATTTTTCTATATTCTAGTAGTACATGATCCTCATTAGTAAAATATAAAAAAATAGAATCTTTACTTCGGCTATAGGAGGATATTGAGCTATTTCCTATATATAGAAAATATAGGAACTACGAGGCCAGGGACAGATACAACAGTTACAACAACAATTACAACAACAAAGTAAGCTCTATTATTTCTTTTATTATCGGATTTAATTTCATATATTTTTACCTTTTTAGATAATAGTGGTCGTGATCGTGTTAGACGTGGTGGTTTTGGTGGTCATCTTCGTCGTGTTGGTCGTGGCTGTGCTCGAGGTGGTTCTGGTGAGGTTGGTGGTATTAGTAATGGTAACAATATTCAAACTCGTCGTGCTACATGTTAATTTTTTTTTCTTGTTAATTTTTCTTATTAATTTTTTTCTGCTTAATATTAAATAAATAAAAGAATTTCATTTAAAATAATTTTTTTTTCATAATTGTCATTGTTTAAATATGCATATAAAAATTCTAAACGTTTATATGATTCAAATAAACGTCATGAAGATTTTTGTTAAAGTTTTCCATACTCATGACGAATTTATTTTGACGTTGATCAGTTGCTTTAAAATACAAGAATTGGATAACATTGTGCATAAATTACTTAGGGTATACCAAAAGTTCTGATCACAGTTTTTAAAATTTAATAAAGCAATAAATATTGAATATTTTACTAAGGCAATATATAGTATAACGTCTCGTCTTTAATAATATATAGAGCAACTCTCTCTTAGACTTAGTTCTAACATCCTTTCAGACTAAATCTATAGTATTTATAGCCAAGAAAAGATCATGCCAACATAAAACCACAATACAGAAACGAAGAGACATTCGTTATTTTATTTTATTAAATGCTCAAAATAATCACCATTATTTTCGATACAAAGTTTCATTCTTTCTAACAGTTTATCGAAAGTCTTTTTAAACTCGTTTATTGGAATATTCTTCACTATGGTGGAAACCTCTTGAGCTAATGATTCTTCGTTTGTGTGATCCGTCAACTTGTTCTTGATATAATCATTTAGCCAAAAGTCACACGGTGCGAGATCTGGTGAATATGGTGGATGTGGAATGATTTCGATTCCTTCCTCCATTAAATAATCAATAACATCTGGATGAGTATGAGGAGGACCATTATCATGAAGCATTTTATATGTAGTACGTGATGACTTTTCCTTTTTTCTTATTTCATTGATAACAGGTATAAGACAATTATCAATATAGTAGTCATGATCGATTGTCTTGCCCTTATCTACTTTGTGTATGAGAAGAGAACCAGTGGATTTGAAGAAGAAGCAAAATAGTGTTCTAGGTTCAAATCTATTCCGACAAACAATGGTTCTTGGTGGTTCATTTTCACCAACCCAAGTAGCATTGCTTGACTTTCGACCAATCTGCCTGTGATAAATCCATGTCTCATCACCAGTAATAACATCACATAAATGCCATGTTCCATTTCTAAATTTCTCTAAATTTTGACGACAAATTCTAAGTCGTTTTTGTTTTTGTTCGTCAGTAAGTTGATGAGCAACCCAACGTGATGTAACTTTTCTCATCTTTAGACGATCATGAATAATTCGTTCTATTGTACCACGTGATAGATCAGTCTCACCCATAATATCATCATAAGTTGAGTGTGGATCATCTTCGATAACTTGTCGAACGCGTTCAACATTTTCATCTGTATGTACCGAAATCGGACGACCAGATCGAGGATCATCAGTGACATCGTCTCTTCCTTCACGAAAACGTTTCGCCCATCTTCTGACTGTTGGATATGATGGAGCATCAGGTCCCAATGCCTCTGTAAGTTCGTCAAAGATTGTTTTTGAATCTATTCCCAAAATAGCTCGAATTTTGATATAATATCGATTGAATTCATCAGTCATGTTTAATGTCTTCTTTTAAGATTGAAATCCAATTCTATTACGATTTTAAGTCGAGTACGGTACAAATGAACTAACAGCGAACGACCTCTCATTTATATATACTATCGAAATGTAATATTCTAGAACATGGCGTCATAAAACGTGACGAGAGAGTGACCAATAGAAAGTTCCAGAATGTACCTGACCATTGAACAAGAATTAGTAATATTTGCATTGTCTGTAAAATTATAGATTTAGTCTGAAAGGATGTTAGAACTAAGTCTAAGAGAGAGTTGCTCTATATATTATTAAAGACGAGACGTTATACTATATATTGCCTTAGTAAAATATTCAATATTTATTGCTTTATTAAATTTTAAAAACTGTGATCAGAACTTTTGGTATACCCTAAGTAATTGTTCAACTAGTGTTGGAGTTACATCTAATAAGTAAAATACACCATAAGGTACACGTTGACAAACATCAAGTACAGCAAGATCGCATTCACCCTTTACAAAAATTTTTATTAAGGGCCCCCGTTCAGAAAATCCAATTTTTCAGAGATAAGTCGAAATTGAAGTTTTATCATAGGAAGATGCAACGAAGTCTCCTCTTTCAGAATATCTATGGTTTATTGCAAAATGAATTGATTTTGACGAACTTATCGCCTAAAACTTGGCTTCTACTATCACATTTTTCGAGAAATTTTCATGGTGTTTTTTCAAGGTTTTTTGACTTTTTAGGCTCCTTTCTCTATGCATCAGCATTTCGTAAAGTCTTTTTTTATACTAATCACTATGAGACTATTAAAACATAATATTAAGATCACATATTTATAGCCTGTCTTGAACGCTGATATATAAATCAAGTTATTTTCGGAAAAATCGCTTTCTAATACTTATTTTTCGTTTTTCTCAAAATTAGTTTTTTCGTCATGCAGTTTACGCGGGCAGGTTTTTCTCCATAACGACTCGACATGGAAGTGATAATTTTTTTATTATATAGGAGATATGTAGGGCTAGGACTTAACAGGCTCCGATTTTTAAATTTGTCTTTTACTGAAATAAAATACTTGGATATTTCATTTCTATGAGCACTTCGAATTCGAATATTTTTCGAAAAATGTTTTTTAAAAATCAAATAAAGGGAAATTCAAAAATCGGAGCCTGTTAAGTCCTAGCCCTAAGGGTACTCTACAACTTGAAAACCGTCCGAGCTTGTTAGCTCGTATCCTTATTGCAAAATCCTTGCACGTGTAAAGAGTAATGAATTGACTAGAACTTGTGCATTTCTTCGAGATTTGGGGGAGATATTTTAACCATAAGCTATTCTAGTCAAGACTAACATTCTCTGAAATTTTGGTTGAAATCGGAAGAAAAATAGCAAAGTTCGTTTCTGAGGGGGCCTTAAGTGAACGATGTCCAGAGAAGAAAATAGTATTAGAAAAATCTTTCATACAAAAATTTCTTTTGTTTTTTTTACAAAAAATGAATAGAACGAGAGCTAAGAGATATTTAAATACAAACAAGAGTAAAGTTGTTGTTGCTCTTGAAATAAACTGAACGTTTTGTGATAAATGACTGTACTGTTCATAATGAAAAACATAGCCATTAAAGAAAAAATATGTTTGCAACGAGAGAAACTATTGAAGAAAATAAATTCGATAAAAAAATGTTCGAAAACCTTTGTTTATAGATTCGTATGAAGTACTTTTTGAAGACGAGCCAAACAGTTTTCCTCGAGGTAGAAAACGAATTAATTCTAATCGATTGTTCAAGGTTGTTGACAGAGATTTTGTTGAAATTTGGGCGAATGTCATTACTAACTCTTCTGCACTTTTATTAATATTGAACTCTCTCTCATTCAGAATGAAACAACTAATAGAGTGATTGAAATGTTAAGACAAACACGACAGTGTGACATTTCAATAGATAATTATTCTTTTCTTATTAGATTAATAAATAGAACTAAGAAAACAAAAACAAAAACAAAAATAGTGTAAGGTTAAACGATTTGGGTAGATAGATACAATGTTTGATATACATATGCATTTAACCCTTTACCCCCCAATGGGTCATATACGACCCATTTGTAGAACGATCACAGAAAATAAAGGAAGCATGAGACTGAAAAAGCTCCAAGACATTATTTGTAGGGAACTTCACAAGCTATCGATTGATAAAAAAAGTATTTGGTTTCATTGCTCGACCTTCGAGATATATGAGTTACAAAATCGATAATTTTGAAAAAAATTCAAAAATTCGAAATTTTTTAAACAAAATGTTCTCTACTTGCAGTCGATAGAGGTCTTTTGAAATTTCTGTGTGATATTAATCGATGAAGAAGTCCACTGCTGAATTAGATGTGTTTCGAAAGCTTCATGATAACTCCGCAAATTATACATATTTAGGAACACAATGGACCATGTAGTCGCTGTTAGACAGATGAAGAGTAATCAAGAACAAAGTTAATATATGCGTTATAGACCTCAACTCATGAGAAGTCGAAATAGTATTTATGATGAATTGAACTCCCTCAGACGTCATAAAATGGCTCAGAGTAAACTAAGCTTAAATTTGACAATAAGTGTAAAAATAGCATGCATTCCTTGATGTTAATTTCTATCAGTTCACTCGTTGCGTTTTTCCTATCGCTTCAACAGTACGAGATAGATGCTGCTTCTGTCAAGTCAATAATGTGGTCAAAGAAAAAAAATTAAGTCTTATGATGTCATTCAATTCTCATTTTTCACCACATGATTTTTACATCAATCAAACTGCCCTACTCCAGGAACAAGACATTCGGTGAATTAAGCCACACCATTGGCATATTCGACAAGCTAATACTCTATTTATCAAGTTATTTTATCAGTGGCTCTTCTGGAACCACTATGGGGGGAGGGGGATAAAGGGTCAAGATAAGTCGAATTGAATCGAATATAGGCATAGGTAATGATTTTCTTTATAGAATAATAATTCTAGTATGAAAAAGAGCAAGATCTATCTATATATAGGAATATTTGAAGAGATAATTCGTTTTGTTGATGCGCAACATATTCTAAAATAATTTTATCTATTAAACGATTCGATAAATGAATATTGATATAATTAATAATGATTATAAATCTAAGAAAAAGTAAATATTGTTATAAAGTGCTGGAGAGATGATTGTTTAGTAGATTGAGATGATTTTCGAACAAGTATTTGTTTTGTTCTTGCTGAAGATGTTCATTGTTTTAATGAATATTCTATTCTGATTTACGTCGGTCTGATCATGATTGAGCTACTATTAGATTATTCTAAATTAATGTAAATGGTATCTATCATTTTTGGAAAATTTATCAATAGTTAGAAGTCTTTCAAGATAAATTCTTAGAATTTTTCTTTTCTCTAATTATCATTTATACGCGATATATATCATTTAAATCATATTTTAAAATGGTTTTTTGGTTTTTTCAATAATAATTTAATTCTTCTATAATGATTGATATAATTATTTTTGTTTAAATAATCTTGTTAAGTTTGAATAAAATCTAATAATGATGGATATGGATGATTTGAAATAATTTATTTCGAGCTAAGGTTGAATTAGGGTGTGGGTGTGTGTGAGTGTGGGTGTGGGTGTGGGTGGGTGTGAGTGTGGGGTATGGGTATGGGTGTGTGTGGGTGTGAGTGTGGGTATGGGTGTGGGTGCGGGTGTGGGTGCGGGTGTAGGTGTGGGTGGGTGAATGTGGCTGTGGGTCAATCTTATATGCACCCACACCCACACCCACCCACACCCACACCCACACACCCACACCCACACCCACACCCCACACCCACCCCACCCACACCCTCGACGGTCGCGATGCAATTCATCAGGCAATCGTCAAGGCAAAGCCTGACGATGTAGTTTTAATCTGCGGCAAAGGACATGAAACTTATCAAATCGTCGGTAATAATAAATTCCATTTTGACGACCGTGAAATTGCATTAGAAGGACTCGCAAAATTGAATGCTTAAGTGACAGTGTAGACAAAATTTTTATTTTGTGGTTTTTATTTCTCAGCTTTTTGTTAATTTCGGAGAAATTTGGAGTGTGGGTGTGGGTGTGAGCGGAGTGGGTGTGGGATGTGGGTGTGGGTGTGAACGGAGTGGGTGTGGGCGGAGTGGGTGTGGGATGTGGGTGTGAGTGTGGGTGTGGGTGTGGGTGTGGGTGTGAGGTGTGGGTGTAGACTAGGAGGGTGACTCATACCCACACGCGCATACGCACACCCCACCCTCCAACACCCACACCCACACCCTCACCCACACCCACGCCCTTACCCACACCCACACCCTCATTCAAACGTCCTCATTTTTTTAGAAATTTTAGAGCAAATAGAGGCACATCTTCCAACGAAAGAACAAACCTTCGAGACAACCTGATTACTGAGAAAAGTTAATAAAACTGTGGCCAAAACGTCATCGCGTTACGCTCGCTCAAGCCGAAAAAGAAAAATTATTAAATTGGAATATTCATTTCAATTTCGTCATCGTCTAGTTTTTTATTAAATAGTTACTCTTATTCAACAGAAAACCTGTCGAGAAAATCCATTAATGGTCTTGATTTTATAAGGAAGAATGTTGACATATATTTTGGAATTAACTGGACGTTAAAAAAAAATATCAAGTTTCACTGACTGACATCAATATATACAATAATATATAATTTTCAGCATTTTTCTCAGACAATTTATATTCATAGCAAACTCAAATAAGACTTCACATTAAAGACAGAAATTAATACATTCAGCATCGAAATGTTATAGAATGACATAATATATCTAGCTCGGTACGCTAATCGCTGTATAAGCTGAGAGTCTAGAAATCAATACCCTATGTGTTCATTACTCTTATATTCTATTTCGAAAGTCTTGCCAAGAAACTGATAAAATCTTGAAGAAGACTTAGCCCAATTCTACAAAGATTCTGTGACGATATCTGATAAAATCTTCGAGAAAATCTAGGTGAATCCTAGAACGTGATATAATCAGAAATCTATTTTTGTTCAATTTTTCATTATTGAAATCCTGACACAATCCTACAATTCCGTGACTACACGCTACTTTCAGGACTTGTCACTTTCTTGGCTCGATCTTGGTTTCAAAAGTCAAAGTGAATTTGTTAGGATCCTTGAAAATCTTGTTCTCAACCTTGACAGGATCCTGAAAAATCGTGGCTGCATGCTTTGTTCAAGATTCAGCATTTCCTCAGGAAAAAAGTGAATCCTGGCAGGATCCTGAACTTATCTCCCTAGAATGTTTTCCTGAAATGTCAAAGATTTTCCCTAGAGAAAACATCCTTCGCTTTTAATTACCAATAATATAATATTCTTCTTTCTATTAATACAATTGTCTCTTTGCATTTACTTGTATCTTATCAACAGCAATAAAAAACTCTGTCTTATCCAAACGTATCTGACCATGAGATGCATTATCAGATGTAAATATATGCCTTAGAAGTAGTCCGCTCCTAAAAAAAGAAAAGAATAAGCACATCTTTTTCTATATATACACCAAGTGAAAGAAAAAAGTTAAAATGCGTCTGTTTTTTGTAATATTACTATTGATCGTTTCTGAAAGCATCTCGCATAGCGGTCGACCATCAGAAACTTCCACTGAACCATTTGATCGTCGTTTTCTTGCAGTGGGTAATCTGAATATTCCACTCGAATATGATTGCGCACTGCGAGCCTTCGCCATAGAAATGGCTGCCTATATCGCACCGACAGCATCGAAAGCGAATTGGACAGCACTCACTCAAAGTGCCTTTCAAATGCATCAGTGCAATAGTACTTCACATACTGTCTATCAGTCACCAAGCTCTGCTAAGCTGTTCCAAACTGCACCAGAAATTAAAAGAGGAACATGCCAACACACAGTATTCGTTCACGGCGTCAAAGGTAATGATTTATTTGATGGTACATTCGAAATGCCGATGAAAACAATCCAAAATGCTTTATCTCGTACTCGTCATTTACGTACTATGCATGGTAGTCAGAGCACAATATGCATGACAATACATGGAGGAACTTACTATCTTGGAGCAAATGCCACGACAGCAAGTAGTCAAATTGGCGCCATTGCACTTACAAGTAACGATACTAATCTTGTTATTGAAAACTATCCAGGTGAAACTGTTGTATTAAGTGGTGGGGCACATTTGCAATTGCAATGGTCTGTTCATGCGAAAACAGCAACAGAAGGTACAATCATGAAAGCTCAGGTACCAGATTACATCAATCTGGATCAGTTCAATGAATTGTATATTGATGGCAAGAGAGCGATTGTTGCGAAAGCTCCTAATGGTGATCCTTCTACTCAAGGACTATATGCGAACAATCCAGGATTTTTCAACAGCGCAAAAAGTTGGGCGTCACCAGTTGAAACTCCAAGTATGAAGATTTATGTTAGCGAACCTTCTCGCAACGGGACAATATTTACTAATTATCAAGACGGTATAGGTGGTGGTGCTTCCGTTTTCAATCCACCAAGAAATTATTGGAGTGTCACCACTCCACGTGGTGTTCTAAACTATGTTGTTCCGCGTGGTCTTACGGTCGAGAATGGTCAATTACCTCATTTAAGTAATTGGAGCAAACCTAGCACTGGTTTTGTACACACTTTTCACGGTGGTTATTGGGGTAGCTGGGTGTTTGGAATAGCTTCAAGTAACAGTACAGAGAATACAATCATAGTTGGGCGAGGAGGTTTTCAAGAAGCACATGGTTGGGATTATGGCGGTTCATTTTATGTTTCAAACATTTTTGAAGAACTTGATTCGCCAAATGAATGGTTCTTAGATAAAGATACTCGTACTCTCTATTTTATGCCAAACGACACTATGCCCAATGTCTTTGTTGCTAGTCAAATTCCCTGTATCATCTCTGTGAGTGGCAGTAGCATGGAAGATTCTGCTAAGAATATATTGATTCAAGGTTTAACATTGACACAAACAACTAACACTTATATGAGAGATTATATGGTACCAAGTGGTGGTGATTGGTCTGTTCATCGAGGTGGAACCATCTTTTTGACTAATACAAAAAATGTTACTATTACACAGAATTTATTGACAGAACTTGGTAGCAATGGAATAGCTGTCATCGATTATAATGATGCTACCACCATTTCTTTGAATGAATTCGTATGGTTAGGTGATTCAGGTATTATTCTCGTCGGTACCACGAACGGCATTGATGGTTTTAGTATAGCAAGTCAACCAGCTAATATACTCATACAATCAAATATATTTCATGAAACCGGCATCTATATTAAACAATCATCACCAGTTCTAATTACTGTAAGCCGAAGTGTGACTGTTAGAGGAAATCTTATGTTTAACATGCCACGTGCTGCAATCAATATAAACGATGGTTTTTATGGTAATCATACTATCAGTCATAACGTCATTTTCAATACTGTGCGAGAAACTAGTGATCATGGACCGATCAATACATGGGACCGGCAACCTTACTTAACTGATGCTATGGAGACAGGTGTACCATCACTCCGACAACGTAATAGTTATATTCATCACAATGTTCTTTTCAATAACTATCGCTCTGTATGGCCTATCGATCATGATGATGGTAGTTGTTATTATGAAGATAGTTACAATTTTCTGGTGTATGGTGGCAAGAAAAACTATCTAGGTCACTCAAAGCTAGATCATCATGAGATTTATGTCTACTCGGATTTAAGTGCAGGCGGATTCGGTAGTGGTAACTGCTTAAATGATTATGCTCCTGTACGGGGCACGAGTGGATGGAACGAAACTTGGATTGACAACATTTGTATACTGTTTAACAGCTCAGTTCCCTACAGAATTGATAACTGTGACACGTCTAGTCTCTACGTCCCATATCTGGCAAACAATACAATCTATGTTCCAGCAGGTAACGAGATTGCATTTGTTTGTAATGTGAATGGCACAGGTACTCGTTTGAACTTACAACAATGGCAATCATATGGGTTGGATTTAGGTACTGTTGTTGAGACCACACCCGATGTTCAAACAATTATTGCATGGGGTCGTAAAATGTTACAAGGCGCAATGTAAACGAAGTTATGAACGACAATAAAAATTTCTTTTTAGAGTGTCATTTGTTTGTGTGTATCACGAATCCATCTGCTTTTATACTAATTTAAATTCTTTCATACAAGTTCTAATAAAGATAATTTTTTTAAAAATCTTCAAACAAATTACATCCAGTATTGAGATGTTGACAAATCTTTTGCAAGGGAAAACAGTGCACTTCATCCCTTTAGGTGGTTTACGCTACTTAAAGCTGTTGCAAGCTAATTACTTTCAAGTATTGTACTTGTTTGGTATTTTAAAGCCATTTTGGCAGTACTTTTATGCAGTTTCCATGCAAAACTTTAAGCGAAAAAGTCTGCTTAGAATATCTTGTAGTTTCCGCTTAACAGCTCTTGTATGCTCACATATTAATCGGCTCATAAGCACATTATCATGTAGAAGCTATTGATCTTGCTTAAATTACCGACAAAAGCTCTTTAATGCGCCTCGTAACAGTTAAAAAAAATGGATTTCTAAAAACTTATCATCTGCTTAGAATTCGTTTTTTAGACAAAAGCTGATAACTGCTCTCACATTAACAAATTTTTGGTGCTTCTAAGCCAAACACATCTCAAACAGCTGCGAAGCAATCAGAGTCTTCTCCTCGAAAACCGATCTGATTCCAGGTACGTTCTGATGGGCTGAAACTGATATACATATGTACGCTGAACTAAGGAGGCAGTATTAAAATATTCAGCTTGATACTATGACGTTTGACAGAGACATGAACCAAACACGGGTCAAAAAATAGCCCATTTTGTGTCGAAAATTTTTCGATCCACGCTATGCCATATGTTAAATTTTATTTTGTCAGAAAGAGCATGTCAAGATTCGAGCATCAGAGAATCCGTTTTTTCTCTCGACTGAAGGGAAGGTTATGCGAAAGAAAATGCGTTTGTCTGTCTGTCTCTCTGCTTGTGATAGGTCAAAGGTTAAAGGTCAGAAAAAAGCCAATACGAAGATTGACGAAAGTAAATCGAGGATGGAGAATCCGAATTTGGGTTTGAAGCCAAATTTCGAAAATTTTGAGTTGAGTTTTTTGTGTTAAGAGAGGGATATTTTGAGAATATAACGATATTCCATGAAAATTTACGAGAATATGTCGAGGTGGTGAAATTTGAATGTAATTTGAGTTGTTCGAGATTGAAGTCTTTATTACTGCTGGGAAGAAAGGAAGCAGTTAAGTGACAGTAATGCGAGCGATGTCCAGGAGTACTAATATGTGAATACAATCATGGTATGGTTTCGTAGGTAGATGAATGCTTTCGCGAAGTAGACAACGATTTAAGATAAAGGTTAATGAATTGTAGTGTTGTGTGAAAAATACAGATTTCAATTGACTGGCTTTCAAATTTCTTGTACAATTTGATGAATGAACGAACTTTTCCTCATAGCATTAAGTTACACTGGAGCGACTATGCAGAATCCAGCGTGAGAAATTAAAGAGCTTAATAGAAGAAGAGTGCCCAGACATGTGTTTTAAGTTGAATGGTAATCGATGTCACAGAGAAGCTGTTCACTGAGCGCTTGAGATCGGATAGTAGTGGCGTGAAAACAGTGATGATTGAAGCATGAACTTATTTTATTGTAAATATTCTACCATATGAATCAATCATAATATCTGGGTTTTTTGTGTGTTTTAGGGAATGTTAGTGGTAGTGTAAGTGGCTATATTAGTCTTTAATGCGCAAGACCTCGTTGATTTATAAATTTGAGCACCATATTCAAGGGAGAAACGGCGGACTTGAAGTAGAAAAGTACGCCAAAGTACGTCAAAGTAGACTACTTGAAGTAGCTCAAAGTACCACCCAAGTAGTCCAAAGTAGGAACAAGTAGCTTAAAGTAACTTCAAGTAACTTCAGGTAAATTTGAAGTTGAAAAGTACTTCAAAGTAAGATACTTTAAGTAGCTGAAAGTAACTTGAAGTAGCTTAAAGTAGCTCAAAGTAACTTCAAGTCCAAAAGTCCGCCGTTTCCCCCTTGACCATATTCCTATTAACCATTCGAGGATCGGTGACCCATTTTTGGACCGCCTATATTTCAGAAAGAAAAAAGTGTTTATTTCACATTAAACAATTAAATATGTAAGATCATTAAGGTCATAAACAACTGCATTTTTTAGCTCATACTTTTCTTTTCTTTCTTTCGTTCTCTTATATAAATTCTTTTCAAACATTTTTTGTTCTTGCTGCTAAGGTACAATGACGTCATAATTTCTTTCTTCTCCTCTGATCTTTTGTTTTTCGAGAATATTCTCAATCTCTATTGGAGGATGTGGGTGTGGGTGTGAGTGTCGGATGAATCGCTCATAGCATACATCTACATTCACCCACATCCACACGCGCCCACACCCAAAAGCACACACACACACACACCCATCGACACCCAGACCCACACCCACCCCCATACAGACATCTTGAACTATTCACTGAATAAATCTTTATAAAATTCTTCTTATTTTCAAAAAAAAAATCTTAGAAGTTTTTCTTTTTTTGAGTTACATTCAGTCAATCATTTTCGTACTAGCAAATATGAACAGCTTTTAACGAAGATATAAGCTTTTTAGATAAACTCCGTTCTAAGTGAACGTCTACAAAAGAATCCTTACAACTAATAAAGGTTTTGTTCATTGATCGGCAATATGTTTGAATAATGACGTTTTGAGTAACCTTTTACATTAATTAAAATCAATGTTTATCAAAGAAATAAGACGATAAATCGATTAACTAGTTAAGACAGTTCTTTGCAAATTTTTCTTACCTGTTTGCTTGATCTAGGCATTAAAAGTCGACATTTTCTATCACAATGATTCCAAGAAGCGAAATAGAAAAAAAATGAAATATTCATTCAAACATGAGAATAAAATTTTATGATCGGAATATATGCCATATATTTTCTGATCTTTAATATTACATTTAATGGATTAGCATAAAGCCAGTCAAAATGGGGAATTTAGTGCACCTTGTTCGATTTCAAGTTTCAAGATTTTTCTGGAATAAAGAAAGCAATAAAATTTAGCTACTTTTTCTTTTGCTTCCAACAGAGACAGCTATGAATACAGCTGATAGATAAGTATTGAATCCAGAAGTAGTCAAAAGTATTATTTAAAATCATGCGGTACAAAACAGAAAATTTCTATATTCGACCGTGTAGATATTCAGTCTCCATAATTTCTATGTATTTTACTGTAAAAAAATATCTACTCCATGTATTTGTAATCTCGAAAATGACGAGTTACTTGGAACTGGTTCAAACATTGCCTAAAAGTCCATATCTCGAGAGAGTACGAATATTTTTGAATCTTCAATATGAGTTCTCGTTCATCTTCAGTAAATCTCGCAAATGACAGTTTGACCTCTATCGTTCTTCCTAGATAATTGTAACTAACCCATTCATATCGTTCTCCGCGAGTTTTTCTTTTTCTTAAACTTCCTAAACATATGCATCGAAAGTTATCATTTCCTAAAAAGTTATTTAAAGAACGCAAATTGATATAAAACCTTTTGCTTTAGGAAACCTTTACATTTGAAATAAAAACTGATATTATCTCTTGGCTTCTTAAGTCTCAAGCTTTGTTACGCTGTAAATAGTAGGAATAAAAAAGCTTATTTTATTGCAAGTAAAACAATAGATATTTATCTCGTTAAACAAAACCGTTTCAAATGGAATTTAACACAGAACATTCTGCTAAATTTCACACTCTGTCAACAAAGCAGTGACCCGTAGCAATTTGCTATATATTTGATGAGATAAGTACTTAGGCTGCTGCGAGGACTACAGCAAGTTTCTTAAGATGTGAGTATGAGTGTATTTTCTCTACACTTACACACAGCTAGGTACAATACTCATTCACTACATTGATTGACATGATTACTATTTCGATATATAGCAATATTAATTCGATGATTCTTGTACGCAAATAGTGATTATTTATTGTATATGATTTTGTCGATAAGTATAACCTTTGTAACAAGTAAAAGGATTTAATCTAGTATAAAATAACATTTTAACGTCGCGTTTTCTTCTAATAAAAGACTAATCCTATTCAACAAAAGTAACAATCTAAACCATGTTGCGCTTGTTATTGTTTTTGTCGACTATAAGTGCGTCACCTCGATCTGTTTCTAACAAAATATGTCCATCTCGATCATCCATCGAGCAATCACTTCTCGATGCTCATATTCCGGGTGCGGCAGTTATCGTGGTCAATGCCACTAATATTCTCTATGAAGAAGCATTTGGTCATCAATCTCTTTTCCCAGTAAAAATGGTAGATGTGGATAAATCGATTTTTCTTCTCACTTCACTATCAAGCACATTTATTGCTGTGGCAGTCATGCAACTGGTCGAGTCAAATCGACTCGACCTTGACAGAGACATCAATCAGTATTTATTGTCACCCAATCAACTTATCTCTCATCCACAATATCCTTCTCATGCGATCACTCTTCGACAGTTACTCTCCCATTCAGCATCAATCGGTATTTATGAAGAAACCGATCTTAGTTTCATACAACCTGGAGACAATGCATTAACATCTATATCATTGGCAGATATTTGTTTCACATATCTGAGTCATAATGCATCACACTGGTTGCCTAAACCACCAGGTAGCGTGACATTCTACTCAAATGTTGGTACTTCGCTTGTGGGATTAGTGATAGAACGGGTGACACAAATGCCATATAAACATTATATCCGGGAGAAGATATTGAAACCATTAGGGATCGACATAAAGAACGCAGGTTTTCGTCTGCTTGGCATTGAAAATAGAGAAAACCTAGTGAAACATTATGCATTTAATACTTCATACATTAGAAAATGGAATCAAAGATTACCACAATTGAATATCACAAAAGTAGGGAAAGCCATTACAATTTATAAGAGAATAATCTGTCATTTTTTAGGGTCATTTGCCAGATTGGTTATACATTCCCTTCTACAGCGAAAGCACTTATCCATCTAGTCTCTTGCGTATGTCAG